TGGAGAGAAACTCTGCACTGGGGTGATGAGGATGCCCCGCGGCTGCTTTCGATGTGACATTTACGGCTATTCTCACAGGAGGGTCAGGTACGGGTCTCCTGGTCTTACTGGTCCTGCCAGCCTCCCTCCTTGCCCCTGCCTGCAGTGTGTTCCCTTTTTCTTCCTGATAACTTCTGACCCTGAAGCTAGCATCTGTACCTGGCTATCAAACCTCTTGCATTGAAAAATACTAAGTCACACAGTATTGCAGTTTTGCAGTTAAAATTCCTGCCGTGTTTGCAGATAAATTTCAGGTGTTAGAATATAATTCATAAGAGAAGATACCCTTGAAGCTGGTGCCAGGAGTTACCTTGATACCAGCACACCCTGGGTTCCCTGTGACCCATTTCCACATATTTTTGTCCCCTACATGGCTGTTCATGGGTGTCACCTGAAGACCTTGAGTTGTAGGTACCACCCTCACTTCCTGAGCTTCTGCTCTGAGCCTCATGACCCTGCAGCCCCAAGCATAGCAGGAGAGGAAGTGAGATCCTGGCTGCCCTCCACACGGCCACACTTGGTTCTGCCTGTCTTTCCACTGGTTCCTGCCCTTCTGCCTGCATTAGGTCATTCCCTGCAGGCCTTTCCTCACCACTTCCTCTAAAGCTAAGACATCTTTCATCCAAAAGGACCGGATGCAACCTCTCTCCACCCTCCCCACATCTCCCTGATGCCAAACCTCACCCTCACTCCTTTGCTCAGGAAGCCTGGCTTAGGGGATTTGAAAGTGGACGAGCTGTCGAGCCTTGCTTTTCTAGGGCAAGCAGCTGATCTACACAGTGGAGTAGGTAGGAGCCTGGAAGCAAATACCAACTATAGTGGAGGTGAGAGCAGGGCATGGTCACCTCTGCCAGCGTGGCTGGGGGCCTGACAATACCTCTTCCAGGTCGGGGCCTTAGAGCTGAGTGTCTGTGGAGGAGGTGAAGTGGTCACCAGGCCGACAGTAGAAGAGGATGGAGGGCGTCCCGTGCTCAAGGCACAGCCAGGTCCCAGCCCTGTGCATGCATGCGGGGCCGCACATGCAGACGGGGCATCCTACTCTGTGGTCGGGGGAGATGGGTGTCCAGCATCTGTCGGCAACTTTTCCCCTTGGGCCTGACCTGTGAGCTCACAGGTAAGTAGGCTGTCCTCTCTCTGGCCATCCTTCCTGTTGGAAGCAGCCACCTGCGTTCCAAAAGTTGAAGCAAAAGCTCTGCGGCCCTTGTCCTTCCTGGAGGGCCGCCTGGGTTCCCTCTGCCTCAAGGCTGGGGTCCGTCTTTAACAAGGTCTCTCTTCTATTACATGTAGATTTTCCCCTCACCACCACCCCCCCTTTACTAAGTTCACAATCCTGAGATTCCCCTCGTTGGAGCTATTTAAACAAAATGAGATGCTGGCAGGAGCAGCCCAGAAGGGATTCCTGCCTGGAGGGAGCCTGGCTGGATGGCCTTGGGGCAGGCAACGCCCGGCTTTGAACCTCAGGCGAGAGGCACCTGTGGCCTCTGAGTCTCCGTCTGAACTGTGCGTTGTCTCCCCAGGGCTACTGGCGGCGGCCATACCTACATCTGAACCCACTCAGGTGCTCCAGGGAGGATTCCTGTGCTTCTGATGAGTCTCGGAGCCTGCCAAGGCCATGTGTTTCTGGCCTTCACACAGTCCAGCTGTTCCAAGCAAAACCTAGAGGGCTGGAAGTCTGGGCAGCTGGTCTTAGGGAGGTTAAGCTGTGGGGAGTCTGGACATTCACACCCTTGCTCCTTCTCGGTAGACCTTGCTCATAGTGGGGGGATTGGAGGCAGTGTAAATACCACAAGAGGCAACAGCTGGAGCCTCTGGAAGATATGGATCAACCTGGTGCCTAGGCCCACTGAATCTGTTGTCTGGACTCTTTTGGGGGTCATAGCTGGTACCTATGTGTACCTGTGTGTCATGACAGCCCATGGTCAGAAGGACTGGTGTGTGGGGTGGTCATTAAACACTGTCTCAGGCATAGGAGTTGGATAGCCTTGAGTCTGAATTGGGCTGCAGGAATTTGGGCAGATTTCTCAACCTGTCCCAGCGTCAGTTTCCTCATCTGTAAAATGGGGGTGTTTCCATAGACTGGACCAGAAGGCAGGGAGGCTGGGAGGAGCCCTGTGTCATGGGAATGGTGAGGACTAAATAAGATAACGTGTGTAAAAGCCAAATGGTGGGCCTGGGGCTGACACCTGCCCAGTAAGTGGTACCTGTGCCCCCGTGAGACGTGACAGAGGTCAGACCCTGTCTTTTGGGTCTGGGACCCTCCTAGGCAGCCCACCACGTGGTGAAGGAGAAGCAGAGGCCTCATTGCCCATCACAGGGCCTCTGCTACAGTTGTGTCTGAACAGAAATTGCAGAGAGAGCCCAGGGCACTGAAGAGTTTTTCCATGGGGTTGGGGGTGGGGAGGTAACAGAAAGGAACTGTTCTTGTACTGCTCAAATTATGATTAAAAACCCAGTGTCCTTCCTCTGTGGAACATGGTGGTTTTGTAACCTCTAATTAGTTCCTGAAACATCTCTGCAAGTTCAGCAGCTGAGAGCTCCCAGGTAAGGAACCCAGGGGGTGGAATGGCAAAGGGACTCGCCCCAAGGCTGAGGGAGCACCCCTCCACATGCCCGGGATGCTGGGGAGCACCTATGCTCTCTCCTGGCTGTGGTTGGACAGTGTTTGCTGTCTAGTCCAGGTTTTGCTTAAGCAGAGGTCAGCGTGGAGCCCAGGAACTGTACTGACTGACGGACGGACAGATGGATACAGGGCTGGGAGGGAGAGGGGAAGGAAATACATTTGTTGATAGACTGTTTGTGACAGGCCAGTGGCACTTCCTCTCAAGAGGTATACAAAGCATCTGTGAGTCTTTTCTTCCGGTTACACAGGTCACTGGCCACCTTTGGCCCAGAGTGGTTTGTGGTGGTGCCAGCAAGATCAGATTGTGACAGGTCCCCAGCTGACTGGGAGAAACCTCTGAGACTTTTTCTTGCTTTGGTAGGAAATCCTCACTTTAATGCTTGGTGTGTAGATTACACACTCAGCCTTGTAGATAATCCCCAGGGGGACCCTGAGACCTTGCTTCCAAAGGTAGTGTCTGTTGAGCAGCAAGAAGGAATTATACAGGCCAACATGTGATGTCACTAACTTTCTCTTCTCGTCCCCCTCTGCCACCGCCTCTTGTTCTCCCCGCACCCAACTCTAGCACCAGTGTCGGGTTCGGCACTCTGTAGGAGTGTTTGGGAAATTCATGCCAGGCCAGCAGTGAGAGCAGCCTAAAGCTTTTAGATGTTTCTCATGTCAAACGCTTAAAGGAAAGTCCTGAGCAGATTGCCTTATCTATTCCAAGCGTGTTTCTCCCTGAGAGTCAAGGGCTGGCATGTCTACATCCTGAGTGATGGGGGAAAGGAGCTCTCACAGCCTGCATGGCAAGGGGTGTACTGTTCCTGAGCCTCAGGGTGGGGGTCGCAGCACAGAGGTTTGCCTCTTTTCTGTGCAGCCTCTGGCCTAACCTTAGGCGGCCCAGCCTCATTGCATGACCACCACGGCATCTTTTTGCAGTTCAGTTTTAGGAAATCATTCTTAGTTCATGCTGATTGCATAACTCCTAGAGGTTCCTTCTTCGACAGAATTATGCTGTTCTGTTTCCTCTGGGGCTGTAACGTGCGGGTGCAGAAGGTCATCTGCTGGCCAGGGTGGCTTTGGAAGTATGCGACCCCTGTGGTCCCAGAGCCTCCTGCTCAGGTGGGCCCTAGGCTTGGGGGCTCACGCCCATGCAGTCGCAGTCTGGACATATTTAATGGTTTTCCTTTCACATTATAAATGTGAAAGAAAATGAAGTTCAGTGGGACAGTGGGGTGTGTGCAGGGCCCTGGGGCCTTGGCTCCTGTGATCCCACCTACTGCCACCTCCCTGCCTCCCCTGGGTGGGTTCTCGCCCCTGCCACATGGGACCTGGACACCAGAAAGGCTGGAGGGAGGTGTGTGCCCCTCCTGGGCAGGGCATGGTGGCAGCTGCCCCTTTGAGGCTGGTAGCCCTGCTGTGTCTCCGCGGAAGACGGACATGGGTGAGCCTCTCCTCTCCCCTAATCCATGTACCCAGGGTAGATGTTGTGACACCCTCAAGGTCACCTGCTCACCGTGGGTTGGGGTGACTGGTTTCTGGGAAGAAGAAACCTCTGACTGGCTTCCCTGCCCCCAGCTGGGTCGCTCACATCCGCACATCCATCCCCCTGCTGGCGGACCCAGCTGTCCGGGATCACATGCGCGCTTGGGTACTGTCGCTGGGGCCCGGGGTGCCTCTGGGGAGCTGGGCTCACCCTGCAAGTCTCCTCACACCCCAGAGAGAGCAAGACCAGAAATAGCACATAACAAATATCATGACATGCTCAACAACTTGTATATACTTAAAGCCACCAAACTGTGCACTTAAAAAGCGTTAAGATAGTAACTTCTGTGTATATTTTATCACAATAAAACATATCAATAAGGTGTTTTGAAACAAGAAACATCATGACAAGTGGAGAGAGAGACCAGGAAAGAAAAAGCTTGAGATTTTAGTAATGCTAATAGGTACTTTTCCTTGCTTTTTGCACAAAGGGTCCCACCTATTCATTTTGTACTGAGCTTCCGCGGTGGCTGAAGACGGTGAAGAATCTGCCTGCAATGTGGGGGACCAGGGTTTTATCCCTGGGTCGGGAGGATTCCCTGGAGAAGGGAATGGGAACTCACTCCAGTGGGTTCTTGCCTGCAGAATCCCCATGGACAGAGGAGCCTGGGAGGCTACAGTCCACGGGGTCACAAAGAGTTGGACACAATTTCGTGACTAAACCACCACCACCCTGTATTATGTCACTATGCCTGCCTGTCGGCCACTTTGTAAAACTATCAAACTCTTTCCCTTGAGAAGGACCCATCCTTGAAGCCTGAGAAGTTGGCTGCTGGCCAGACTCTCACCTGTCTTCTTTTCTTCCTCTTCACAGGTATTTTCTTGGCCGTGTGCCAGGCCCTGGAGAACAGCACATCCGCCCTGAGTGGTGAGTCCCATCCCGTCCCCTCCATGTGGGGTGGTGTATGAACGGATGGGAGCCTCTGCTACAAGCTTCCCCCGGGGCTCCTGCCTGCTGAGCTCCCATGCGTCTGCCCCCTGCACGTTGTCCCAGGGCCCAGGGGGTGCTCCCAGGAGGTCTTAACTGCGGACCCACAGCGACTGTTCCCTGCTCACCAAGGGTGCACCGTCTCCCAGCTCTGAGCAGTCACTGTGGGCGAGGGTGCTGGCAAGCTGAGCCTCATAATCCATCTAAAGAGGAACCCAGATTCCTAAACCCTCTTGTCTCCTTCTGCCTGGGAATCTTTGTTAGTTATTAATATTTTCCAGTTTCTCTTTGGACATTTGTAGTTGCATTTCCTTTGTTGCATTTGTGACATCCTGGGTCAACAGATTGGAAAGGGAAATGTTGGTGGCAAACTACTCATGGGCAGAGGCTCACAAAAGCGTGATGTTTGCGCACAGCTTTTAGCATTTGTCCATGTGCACTAATATTTTTATACAATTAGTCGTGGTGAGGAAGTGATTTGGGTTCCTGCTTTTTAAATTCAGAGTTGGAATTGTGCTTTTTTCCATGTGGCTAGACTGTCTTGAAATTTATCCTTTTAAAATGTCATAATGTTTCATTCAAGTGATGATACAATTAGGCTTTAGATGATACAATTTAGGCTTTACAATTAGAGGGGATACAATTAGGCTTTTCCCATGGGATATTTTTGTTGTCTTCAGTTTAAATTATAATGCTCCCTCTTGATGACTAGAAACTATTTCCTTCTTTTGGATTCTTTCCTTGGGACATAGCTCCAGGAGCAAGAGTATATATTTACGACCCTTGTAACAAATTGCTAAGTAGCTTTCCAAATGAATTGAGCTGGTTTTTATGTCAGCAGTGCACCAGTCTGCCAGCTTCTCTGTTCGCTCGTTGACATAGAGAATGTTCCCATCTGTTACTGCAGTGGCCCCAGCTGCATCTCCCTAGTTATTTCAGGGAGGTGCCAGGGCAGGAGGTGGTGCTCTGTATTCGTACATCTTCAAACCACCACACAGTGTTCTGGTACTTAGCTCTTCTCTTGCAAAGCTTCCCGTCCAAACGTAGTAAATGCTGCTGCTGCTCCCACTGGATACCAGTGCTTCTGCAACCCCACAGTCTCCACCTGTAGCTGTTATCCTTGATGCACTTGAACCGTTAAGGTATCTGAGCCACTTGGTGACCCATGACGCCACAGAAGAAACTGCCTCTTGTCCTGTGTGTTATACTTCGTCGGGACTGGGGGTGGAAGCGCCTGTCCATTCCAAAGCAGTGCTTTGGGGAGGAGGGGATAGTTTTGTGACCCACGCTATTTTTCACAATTGACCCAGCCCTCATCCTGGGATGCATTTACCCTCCGGGTACATCCCCAGCCCATCGTGGTCCTCACTGTAGGACCTGGTAGGCCAACAGCCGGGTTCTCTTCTGAGTCACTTGTAGGTGATGGCAGAGGCTGATGCTACCTCCAGGGAGACGGTTATCTTACCCCCTACTCCCATTCCATCCATTCACACAGGAAAGGCCTAGGGGATTTTGTACCTGAGCCAGTACCCTTAGGGCCTGGCATGAGGCCCTTTGGGGTTTCCTAGGCTCTTCTGGGTAGACGTGGGAAACCCTGTGATATTTATCCAGAAAATGACTATGCTTGCTGCGGTCATGATCTGTTCCATGTTTCTTTTCTGGGCTTTGCTTCTGTGAGACAGTCTCAGGTTGATATTGGACGTGCTCTCCCCATGACCACTTAGGTTCAGGAAACAGTAGGTGTGGCCTGCCCTTTTGCACACGACCCTGTAACTGGCTGAGTGCTGCTCTGTGGCCCAATGTGGTGGGTGGGAGCTGGGGTTGTGCCACACGGTCTAGTGTCCAGGGGCACTGAGATCTTGGTATGGGTTGGTGATACGTTGCGGGGCGGGGGTGGGGGGGGAGCGGGTACTGCTAGTCTGGCCTCGTGCACTGCTCTCTGTTTGATGGATTACTCAGCTGCGGTACTTGTGCCCCAGAGAGGTTGATGGAATAGTTCTTCCACGTTTGCTTGCTCTCTGCCCTGCCCTGCTGGACCAAGATGTGAATCCAGAGAGGGCTGGGTTAGTTAGCAGATAAGTCCAAATGGTGATGACCATGTCAGAGCCACTTGTCCAAGGGCTAGGGCTTTGTGACTAAATCAGGATTGTTTGCTCAATTTTCTTTCCCTTAGGGTGACCTTCCCGTCTCCTGGAAGACTCCCCAGGCCCTTGTAGGCCTTGCCCACCCCACCCCACCCCACCTCTGTCCTCTTCCAACATGGCTAAAATCTTGTTGTGGGTACAGCTCAAACTGGAGACCCCACCAGCCACAGTCACTACACTAGCATTGGAATATATTTGTGTTTAACTATTGGCTAATTCAGCAAGTAAAACTATTTGTTAATGTTTATAATAGAAATCATCATACATAGGAAAGGAGAAATAAGAGCAAAATCAATCCCCATGTATCTATCACCCAACTTCAACAACTAGCATCTCTTTGCCATTTTTCTTTCACCTATTTTCTCATCTTTTTGAGTTTGCTCTTTGTTGGTATAGTTTAAAACATAATCCATTTTTCTTGTGACTATTACTTGAATCTAACAGATAAAAACTTAAAATGAAACCATAGTTCAGTTACACCAACAAAAGCAATAGTAATTCTTTTTTATTAGATTCTTAAATATGGAGGGTAGATGACGCTGAACTAATATTTGTGGCATTTTATTTAATTCACATTGCCTTTGATGTTTTCATATTTTGCTTTCTACTTGTATTCCCTTTCAGGTCAATGCTGCTTTTATGAAATGTGCTCCTTTATATACTGGGTGACTGACTTTCACATCTGAGTCCCTCCTAACCCTTATGCTCTGGAGGTTGGTGGGCTCATTTACTGAAACTATCTAGGTGTGAAGGTGGGTAATTTTAGGACAGAAGCTACAAAAGCTTTACCTGTGGTTTAAATATGCAGATCTCTTCACTCTGAGGGTTAATTGCAATGAGAAACAGTAATAAACACACAGGGTTTTGGCACATTCCTGATTGGTGGTGCTGGAACAAAGGACTGCAGACTTACTCAGAATTAAGTTCTAACATTTTGATGGAGCAACATAGACAGAAAATTGCAAACTCCACATGCCAACCAAAGTGGATTATGAGGTTGAAGGAACAGGGGCTGATCCCATGTGGCATTCTTGTGCTTTCCCCCCCAAAAAGTTCCATGGTCTCATGACTTCATAGTTGCTCTTGGCTTTCTTGTTTGAGGTTTCATTGATTTCTTTCAATTTTCCTTTTTATAAACCCCCAAATGTAGAGGGTAGATGATGCCAGAGGCATGGAAACTGGCATTATTATCATCAGAATTGCTTCTCAGACATTTGCTTCGGGTGGGACATTGGAGGGATATATGCCTTAGGCTGGAGGTTGGGAGCCCTGCGTGTTAGACCCATCTGGTCTCAGTTCTGCCGTGTCCTCAGGCAAGTTATTCATCTGGTTCCTGTTTGGATGTTGGCCTTGACTTAGGAATAACCTGTGAAGTTTTTCACATGACCACTGTGATGTATTGATGGAGACTGCTTAGAAAGCTTTGGTGAGGATTTAGAAGGCAGCCTTCAAAGTATCAGTTCAGTTCAGTTGCTCAGTCATGTCCGATTCTTTGTGACCCCATGGACTGCAGCACACAAGGCTTCCCTGTCCATCACCAATTCCTGGAGCTTACTCAAACTCACGTCCATCGAGTTTGTGATACCATCCAACCATCTCATCCTCTGTCATCCCCTTTTCCTCCTGCCTTCAGTCTTTCCCAGCATCAGGGTCTTTTCCAGTGAGTCCGTTGTTCACATCATGTGGCCAAAGTATTGGAGTTTCAGCTTCAGTATCAGTCCTTCCAATTAATATTAGGGATGGATTTCCTTTAGGATTGACTGATGGGATCTCCTTGCAGTCCAAGGGACTCTCAAGAGTCTTCTCCAATACCGCAGTTCAAAAGCATCAATTCTTTGGCGCTCAGCTCTCTTTATGGTCCAACTCTCACATCCATACATGACCACTGGAAAAACCACAGCTTTGACTAGACGGACCTTTGTTGGCAAAGTGATGTTAGCAATGTATGGCAGCGGTCAGTTGGTGACGCTTGCCATGAGCCTCAGACACACTGGTGGTGGTGTGCCTGCCATGTGTCTCACTGTCTTGGAGCCAGACGCTCTTTTACATTCAGGTTCTAACATTATGGGCTTTCCAGGTGGTGCAGCGGTAAAAAGTCCACCTGCCAATGCAGGAGACGCAAGAGACTTGTGTTCAGTCCCTGGGTTGGGAAGATCCTCTGGAGTAGGAAATGGCAACCTACTCCAGTACTCTCACCTGGAAAATTCCACAGTCAGAAGGGTCTGGTGAGCTACAGTCCATGGGGTCGCAAAGAGTCAGATGTGACTGAACAACTGAGTGTGCATGCATGCATACACACACACACACACACACACACACACACACACACACACGCACGCACGCTACATTATAGTTGCTGGACAACTTCTCTGTCCTTGTCTCCACCACAGAGGTGACCCCACAGTGAGAGCCTTGCAGTGACAGACGGCAACCACAGCTGACTGCTTAGTGTGTGATTTAGAAAATCATTGCTCTAAGAAGTCAGTAGTCTGCAGGCCAGGACAGAAAATTTGTATCTGGTTGGTTGTCAGTTCGTAAAGCTTGCAGAGAAACATTAGCTGGAGGCAAGGTGAGGATGGCAGCACCTACAGCTTAGAACCTTAAACCCTTCGTGAGGAAAGAGTTACGGCCTGTCTTCAAAGGCACCTTTTAATGCCCCTGACTGGGGATGGAATGCACCCTGATTAAGTTGTTGGGTGGCTGCTTGCTTAACCCTGCGCGGTGTTGCCTTGTTCCCAGGCTGCCCATCTGGTTCTCATATTTTCATGAGACTCATTGTAATGATCCGGGGTGTGG